AAAAAAAAAAAAAAAAGAATCACAAAGCCATGACTGTGGTTGAGCGGTCCAAATGAGTAGGTTCTGTCATCATGATTCTGGGGCTGACTCTAGCCACAGCAGCAGCAGTTTTTAATCTATCCTCTGGTAAGCTGTAGTCTTGAGAAGCAGCCAGGCACTAGAAAAACAGGAGTCTAAGCTGGGGACACACAGAGCTCTTGCAATGCTGGTCTTTAAAAAAATTTAAAAATAACATGGATTTGTCTTCATGGACCCTTATTTGTAGCAACTATCACATACTGAGCACTTGCTCTGTGGCAGGCATTCCATACTTTATCTTCACCTAAGTTACCAAGTGGGAGAGTTGAGGATGAAACCCAACCATGCCAGTGTCCAATTCTAACTTAACTAATTACATAGCAATCGAAGAGAAAAAAGGGGTGTGTATCTTCTTGAATGCTGTTAATACTAGTGGATTTTGTTTCCTTCCATCGGTCAGGTTGGCACTCTACTACCAGGTACAATCTCACCCAGGGTATTAAAGATTCAAATTAGGCCTCTGATAGCATAAGATAGCAATATCCACAGGGTGGCAGTGCCGGTCAACACTAAAGGGAGGCAGAATTCCTAGAAGCTGGGAAGGGGGAAAGGGGGCAAGTTACCTGGCATGGAAGCCTGCACAGCCAAGGCAAGCAGACAAGGTATGGCTGTCTGGTGGAAATACCAGCAACTTTCCAGGTCCTGCTGACATTTTTCTGCCACCTGTTGGAGACTTTGACAAACAGCAATAACTTCACTGGACTGTGCAACCATATTCCCTGTTGGTGAGAAAGTATTCTCTATAAGGTTTTCATAAAACCACTTCCAGATTATTTCCAATATAGCAGATGGGAAATACAATCAAAGATAAATGACTGAAAAGACTGAGAATGTCTTTATTAAAGAGCTGAATCATTTTATTCTCTTGGCAGTTTTTCATCTGTTCAGACTTCATAGTTGAGACCTGCTGTGTGTTGGGCTCAGCAACAGAAGAATTCAGATATCTCTCCTTTATTTTCATAAGAACCCTTTAAGTATCATTTCTCACACTTTATAGAGGAAGACACAGAGGTACAATAAAATGCTCGTGTTTTGCCAGGGTCACAGTAAGTGCAAAGTCAGGAAACAAGCCCAAGTCACCCTCCCAGCCTAGTGTTCTTTCTACTATCGAAGAGCTGCTGGACCAACCACTGCAAACCTGGATCTACCCAGGAGAGTGGGCAGTCCTAAGTAGGGAGCTGGGGTTAGTGAGGACCCATGGTGATCATGCATAGTTTCCCAGTCACAGTAGTTGCTGTCATCACTTTTGCCTTAGGGCAGTGCTTCTCAAACTCAAAGGTGCCTATGGATTACCTGGGGACCTTGTTAAAATACCAAGTGTTATCACTGAGAAACTAAGACTCTCTACTTTTTTTTTTGAGACAGAGTTTCACTATGTCACCCTTGATAGAGTGCTGTGGCATCACAGTTCACAGCAACCTCAAACTCTTGGGCTTAAGTGATACTCTTGCCTCAGCCTCCCAAGTACCTGGACTATAGGCGCCTGCACAACACCTGGCT